CTCAGAGGGAAGCCTCTGTTGCGTGCTCCCTCTGGGGCTGACCCCACGGAGGAGGGAAGCGCCATCGTGTGCCTCTGCCGGGCCTGACTCCCTCCTTCCACTGAGCAGGGAAGCCTCCGTTGCGCACTCCCTCTGGGGCCAATCCCTCCCCGCGCCCCGCAGAGGAAGGAAGCCCCATCGCGTGCCTCCGCCGGGCCTCACTCCTCCCCCCTCCTGCGGAGCAGGGAAGCCCGTTGCCCTCTGCCTCCGGGCCTGACCCCCCCCCTCCCGCAGAGAAGGGAAGACCCAGCGCGCGCCTCTGGGGACTTACTTGGTAAGTTCCCAGAACGCCAGGGAGCTGGGGCAAGGAAGTAGCTAGTGCATTTCCGGAACCCCCGGAAGTGACGCGCAGCTGTAGGACTTCCGTCCACCCTGCGGGAAGCTGCCACTACCTTCATTGTTGCTCAAGGTAGGTAGTGGGGCTTCTTGGGTGTGAGGGGAAATGGGGAGCCCAGAACACCTTGCGATCGACTGGTCGAGGCCTCGTGATCGACCAGTAGATTGTGATCGACTGGTTGGTGACCACGGCCTTACCCTCATTCTCAACATTCCAAATGCACAATTTCTCTGCAGTATCTTGAGTGCCTGGCTACATGGAACAAGTAGCATTAAAATAGTGTTCAGATGAAAAACTCACTTTGATGGGATAACTGTGTCTATTTAGGCTGTGGAGGAATGTAACTGTTTTGTAGATCTGCTATTTCTTTCTTTCGCCCTACATTTAGAGATTTAACATTTAATAGTTTCAAATCTCCCCTCACTGCCTACAGCAGTGTTTCTCAACCAGTGGCAGGAGTACTCTTAGGGGTACTCGAGAGAAGTCTGGGGAGTACATCAACACAACTGAAATTTGAAGAAAACTGAATTTTTGTTTTAAGTTTTACAGCGCTTTATTATTTTTGTACTTTTTACACCCAAAAATGTCATCACTTGCCTGGCTATGACTAAGTTGTTTAAATAAATGTGTTGCAATGTTAAAAAAAATGTTGTGTGTCTAAAAATTGTAGGTACTGGGGGTACTTAAATTTTTTTGTTTTGAAAAAGGGGTACCTTATAAAAAAGGTTCAGAAACACTGGCCTACAGCAATTGCTGCTTTATTCTCTTCAGGTCACTCTGCAATTCAGTTACAGTGTCCTGTGTTTGCTTCTCCTTTAGTTTTGGTAGAGAAAAATCTGATCACAGCTGAATTTACCCTAAATAAAGCTGTGCTGAGTGCAAACATGCGTGTGTACGCATTTCAATTAAGTGGTCAAAAATACCTCTGCAAGTTCTTAAAATGTTCCAGACTGTGGCTATTATCAGAAAAATACATCACAACTTATGGCATTTTTCAGCAGATTCAATCTTGACAATGTGAAGGTCAACAGCAACATCTCCAAAAACGTATAGCGCCTCTAGCAAGCCATATGCACAAGCACACATAGTATTAAAGTACTGTGAAAGTAAATCTTTCCCCTTCCTTCCCAAATTTGTTATAATTAGTAGATTTCAAAGAAAATCTTTGCATCTAAATCATCACTGATAAAATGGTAAATTCTCAACTCCTGTGATAGCTTCAGAGACATGAGAATTTTTATTTGGAGATATCCCTCAAGACCAGAAAAGATTGTGCCAACAAAATTGCCTGAATAAATTAAAATGTTTTACTTAGAACAATATGTTAATATTGATTTAAAATGAAAAAATTTATGTTCTCTAATTAGTGTTACTACTGGATATGCTTAATGATATAATATGGGAAGAAAAAATATTCAGGATACATTTGTAAACTTAAAATACAGTCCCTTAGGATGACTTTTATTGGTTATTTAATTAGCTGAATTAATGAGCGGGAAAACAGAATTACAGGCAGTCCCCGAGTTACGCGGATCCGACTTATGTCGGATCCGCACTTTAATACTATACATCACAACTTATGGCATTTTTCAGCAGATTCAATCTTGACAATGTGAAGGTCAACAGCAACATCTCCAAAAACGTATAGCGCCTCTAGCAAGCCATATGCACAAGCACACATAGTATTAAAGTGATAAGAATTAAATCACTTCAAAAATGAGTTCCCCAAAGATCTATAGATTCATGAACAGATTCAAGTAAATACATCTGTGAATTCTAGTGATTTCCCTACTATCTAGTTAAATTGGCTAGCAATCACTGGAACATCCAAATGTTATATTCTATAACATTTAGAATATAGGAATAATTCTGGAAAAACTGAGGTTTGAGACTACACAAAAGACATTTCACAGATATCCAACAGTGACCATATGACAGTTGTCAAAGTCAAACAACATTCACAGATTGTGTGTGAACTATTCCAACAAAAATAATTGTGAAGTGTAGCATGAGAGTGTAAACAGGAGGAGATATTACAGCTACACACCTGGCATCTTTCATGCGCTCGTTAGCCTGGTAATATCCAGCGATCACGTAACTATTCTCTTTGCACCAAGAATCAATCTGAAAGAGTAATTTAAAGGATTATAAACCCAGAAAAAAAAAAATCACACGAAACTACCAACAGGGATACCTCTTTCCTGAGGTTAAAATGGCAATTAAAGCTAATTGCTAATAACATTGTCCAAATGCTAATATTCTTAGCTACAACACAGGAAGAAACAAGTATTAAGGAATAAATATATAAAGCACTAATGAAATTATATTGAAGAACAAGAAGATATTGGAACTGTGAGGTACAGCCTGAAATTCAAACAACAGGATGTGTGCTGATGAGTCTTCAGTAACCACCAGCTTAGAATTTTAGGTCTCTGGCTATTTTCTGCTAGCATGTAGTTGGCAATGGGAAGTAGGACAATGTACAGGATGTGAGACTATAACCCCATTTCACAAGATAATGGCACCAATTTTGCTCAAAATAGTAGAAATTCACATAGTGTTAAAATATATACTTTGACATTATCGTATAAGGTTTATTTTAAAAAGCAACTGCTGCCTTTATTTTTAGAATTGAAAGATATGACACGAAATTCCGACCACTGTCTCATTCTTCTAACTCATCCCTGTTGCTAGAGAGATCTGTATTATTACAAGATTATTTTCCTTAATAGTTCACTTGTGAGGGTAATTAAACATTAGAACAATTTACCAAAGGATGATAGGTGGATTTTCCATCACTTGAAGTCTTTAAATCAAGATTGAACACCTTTCTAAAATATGCTGTAGTTCAACCACAAAACAGGCTTGATGCAGGAATTACTCAGTTAAATTCTATGGCCTGTATTATATAGGAGGAAGTATGAGATCTGTGGTTCTCAATCAGGGGTATATGGGAGAGTACAGAAGTCTTGCAGGGGATATGTCAACTGCCCAGTCTTAGATCAGGCTACATAAAAAGCAATACTGAAGTCAGTACAAACTAAAATTTCATAGAATGACTAGTTTATACTGGTCTATATATTATACATTGAAATGTAAGTACAATATATATTCCAATTGATTTATTTTATAATTACATGGTAAAAATGAGAAAGTAGGTGATTTTTCAATAACAGCATTCTGCAACACTTCTATATTTTTAAGTCTGATTTTGTAAGCAAGTAGTGAGGTACACAAGACAAATTAGACTCCTGAAAGGGGGACAGTAGACTGGAAAAGTTAAGAGTCACTGGACTAGAAGATCATAACACTCCCTTGTTCCATGAATAAAACATCACATATGCAAATACAAAAAAAAAAAATTACGAAAGCAACATAGTTATCTGAGTGAAAAGGACAAATTCAGGCCTTGTGTAAAGCAGGAAAAAACAACTGGAAAAAGAAATATATCAAGTCAGAATTTGGTCCTTCATCTCTGCAGTTTTGAAAATACACATTTACCATTCCTTTTGCTCACAATTAAGTCTATTAGGCTAGGCTGCTAGGATAATCCAAAAATGTGGGAGGTGGAGAAAACAGCTAGTGCGGTTCTCCCAGTTACTATGCAGTTTAAAAACCTAAACAGATTGATTAAAATGGATTCCAAAATATATCTGATGATGAACTCTGACATACTGCAAATCAAAACAGTTTCATACTTAGAAGAATAATTACAGTATTAAACTAAGCAGCAAAAAGCCATGTGAATAATCCCTCATCCACAGGGGATGACACGGATTTATATGTTTTATTAAAATGTCATCTTCTGGCATTGAAACAGCAGTTGGCCCTTAACTGAAGCAATTATAAAGTCCATTTTAAGGGTTTATGATTTCAGTTTTAATTGCTAGTGGACTGAAACGTTGGCACTGAAGCCAACAACCGTGATACAAGTTTACTTTAAAATGGAAACTATCAATTTAAAAATTACAGTTGTCTGACATTTTTTCTGTCTACATTAGTGAAAACAATTTCAAACAAGTTTATTATTTGACTGTTTCCTTTTTAAAGTAAACTTGCAGCCAGTGAACATTTTTTTCCTATAAAATAAAGATTAACTTTGAACTTAACAGCCATTTTGCTAGATTTACACTAGCACTGTTCATTAAATATCACTGTGGTGATAACACCAATGATAACCCCAGCATCTACCAACGTTTCTACCCCTTGTCTGATCAGAGCAGACCAACATGAGACAAGTGATAAAAATACCAATACCTAGCTCTTCTATAGTGCTTTTCACCTGTGGATGTCCAAGTGCTCTACAAAGGTAAAAATGCCAGTGACCAGTATACCCAGGGGCAGGGGTGGACAAATACTATAGCCTGTAGGTCGGATCCAGTCCACTAGGGTTAGTCCCTGTCTAGTGACCAGTATACCCAGGGGCAGGGGTGGACGTAGGTCGGATCCAGTCCACTAGGTTAGTCCCTGGCAGGCACCCACCACTGTATATCTGTGTCTCCACAGGTATGGGTGACCACAGCTCCAGCTGGCCACGGGTTGCTGTTCCCAGCCAAAGGGAGGTGCAGGAAGTTGTGTCCCAGTCAGTACTGCTTCCATTGGTCTGAATGGCAATCTGCGGCCAACAGGAGCTGCGATTGCCAGTACCTGCAGAGGTAAATATAGTGGCAGCATCCTACCAGGGGCTTACCCTCCGAACCAGCACCATTTTACTGCCCACCCTCCCCAACGGGTAGATCCTCAGCTTGTCACAGCTCCACTAAAATCAGCTTACTCTTGCCAAGGGTCTCCCCCCAGAGCTTCTACCATTGCTACCAGCAGAGGAGCTGCACCCACAGTACTGTAATCATGGAGAATTTCAAGAGATCTGCAAGTACAGACAAGGCCTGAGTGTATAGGCAGTTTCTCTGATGCTCATGTACAACCAGTCAGTGGAGAGTAACTGCATTGCAGCCGGAAAAAGAGGTTGTTTTTTTTTTCAAAAGGAAAATGTGGTTGTAAAACTACAACTGGCTGGGAGAGCCAAAGGCTGTATCTGAAACTTTTTGTAACTTATTTAAAAAAAAAAAAACCCTTGATTTCAAATTCAAAACAAATGTGCAAGTTAAGAACAGTAAAACTTTATTCCTTCCAATCCTCTTGCTGAAAAAGCTTTGTAAACACTATGAATGTTTCCATTAGAGCTGTTGTGACCACAGGAGCTACTGGCTCAGTACACACTCCTTTCCCAATGTGTACTTTGAAACTGAGCTAGGACATCATTTCAAGTATCTTTTTATATCAAGAGGATTTTTTTTTTTTTTTTTGGTATTCCTTTAATACTCTTTTTCAGAACTTTTTTTTTTTTAATTAACAAGGCTGGCACTGCAAATGAAAATGTACCCTCTAAACTAAGAATTGTATTTGGAAAATATTAACTCAATTTGATGCTCATGCATAACTCAGAAAACAATGGGAGTTTTTGTTCTCTGAGGACCGAATACTAAAAATCCTCATTCGGACAAACCGTTCATTCACCTCAATGGTAATTATATATCCCCAGGAAGAGCTTATAGTACAGGTTGAACCTCTCTTGTCTCCGGCCTGACATGATTGTAGTTAGTCAGATGTTCACTTACCACAAAGTTTATTTACAGCCACCAGTCCTGGCTCTCAGTGTTCTGTGCTATTATTTAGTTCTAATTTACCCCTAAATGTCTTCTAAGAGCCCAGTAAGCAAAGGCAATGTTAGTAGGTAATAGTGATGTTAATGAATGGTTAATTAGCTAATTGAGTAGTCAATGGAATTTCCATCAACTACTTGATTAGTCAATAAGGGGAGGGGAGGGCACTCACTACTGCCGCTGTAGCTCTGTATTTTAAATGTAGTAAGAACTGCCATGGACTGCTGTGGTTTTGCCTCTTCTGCCCCGCCCACGCTGCCCCGCAGAGACGGTAATGGAGGGAACCGGCTTTTAAGCCACCTCCCCACAACACTGCCTCCTGCTTCACCTCCCCCATGCTGCCTCTGATACAGAGGTAGAAGGGTGGGGGATGGGGTGTGGGAAATAGCAGAAGCCAGCATAAAGCAGGAACCCCCTAGCACCGTCTCCATGATGAGGGGCAGGAGGGGGGGCGGTGCGGAGGGAAGGCAGAGCCGCAGCGATCCCGGAGCTGGCGTGAGCTGGGACTGCTTAGTCCCAGCTCTTGCTGCTTCTGGGAGCTAACCCTTGTGTAGTTCTGCACTTTAAATGTAGTATGTTTATTAGGTAGTTGACTACTCACAACCCTAGTTGGTAATGCTGCTAGACAATATTGACCTCCCACAGTTCCACAAATTCTCTGGTTTGGCACCACAGTACTATGGTTCTGAGGATACTGGACTGGAGAGGTTCAATCTGTAATAGGCCCTGAAAAAGATACATTCCTCATTAAATTAAACCAATGCTTCAAGACGCTTTGGATAGCGAATTGTTTCTGGAAAAGAACATCAACCTTTACTGCATGAACATCATTGATTTGTTCACTTAAGATGGCTCCTTAACTCAGGGCTTCCCTTGTATTCACTTTTACTACATTACATGCAAAAGAGCCTCCATTTAAAAAGCCACAGTAATACATTGCTAGCTCTGAGCAGTTACACAAATACTAAGTCTGTGCACAGACAGAGCAAAAGGCTTTGAGCTCAAGACCTGTAATTTGCAACCCATCTTCATGATCTTATATTAGAGCTTGCAAAAACTGATTCACTGAGGAAGTCAGAGATTTCACGTGTTTTGATTTTAAAAATTTATAACTAAAGTACAAATGAAAAGTAGCAAAAATTCAATAATTTCAGGATTTTAAGGATTCTTAAGTCACATGACATACTAATATTTCAATTTTTTGGCAGTGTAAAGATTAAAATCCAGATTTTGTAATGAGCTTCACACATGGACCTCTTAATGGTCAGGGTCCAATTCTGGATTGAAAAAAAAAATCTTCCATGAATTCTTATGCCTTTTCAAGTACTTGAATCCTGTAATTACACTGTGTCTCACTTTTCCCCAGATCTCAAAATAAAAAACCTTTAAACAGTAAAATGCTTGGCACAGCAGTCCCTGTATGTAGAGCATGGTTACAAATTCAGGGCTTTAAGCCATAAAGCTCATAGGTGTTTTGTT